GTTCGAGGAGATGTGCGGCTTCGATTTGAATTCGCAGAGGGAGTCGACTCAAATGGAGGAGACGAACAAGACCACAGGTATGGGCTTCGGTTTCTCCTTGTCTGTATTCCTTTGTGCGTGAGAGCCGAATGAGAGGAGGTTTTTTTGTTTTATGTCGTGAGGAGCAGTTTTTGTCGAGAGGAGTGTGACAGTTGTGTGAGATCATGGGTCGTTTCTGTGGTGGGCTGAGGTGGAATGAGCGGTTGGGTCTCCGACAGTTAGAGGTCAACATACATCAGGTAATATACATCACATCTGCTTCTCTCTAAAACAATTCATAATAGCCCAAGCTTCTCTAGTCCATGGCACTCAAATCAAGTCACAATAAGTGTGCGGTTATGATGCATCCAACCTAAGATGATATGGTCAAGATGAAACGGTCCTATCTGGTCCACCAGTAATGAAAACCACTAAGAATTACAGCACAAAGCAGATTGTAAATATTGTCACACCGTATTTCTTTGAAATTATTACTTTCATATAAAACGAAGAAGATGCATACCTTAATCAAGTAGCAATTACCAATAAATCAGAATCTGTTTAGGAACAATATGGCATGCACAAATCATGTAACCAAATCTGTCTAGTGATAATAAGACACAAAAATAAGTTTGCCTAACATAACTCTTACTCCCACGATGCAACAACTGATATGGAAGTTCAAATATTATTTTGTTAACGTTACAGATGCTCTAACACTAACTCCAACGTCACGCTACCACAAGACTTTGTACAATAACACCTTTCTTTTAATACTACAAAATGATGTTCCTGCTTGATGAAGTTGGCCGCAATAGGATGAAACTCAAGAAATAAGAATAGATAATACATCAACTTTAAAATTTGAGATAGTATACCAGCTACCAATTTGATCCTCTACACTTATACATCAGTAAGCTTTAGCAGAGATGACAGCACTTCTTTCATAGTTGGACGATCCTCGACAGTGAATTTGGTGCACGACAAGGCTAGTTGCAGAACACGAATAGCCTTCTCTTCCTCCACTTTGCCTGAAAGATATATTTCAGGGTCTATTATGCTAAGAGCAGTATAAAATCCATCGTCAAGGGCTTTTTCTACAAACTGATTCAAGGTCAGCGGCACACCATCCTCCTCTGTAATCCTTGTTGGTCTTTTCCTCGTGAAGAACTCCATCATAACTATTCCAAAGCTAAATACATCCACCTTTGTGGTCACCCTTCGCATGTACGCAAACTCTTCAATAGCAAAAGATAATCAATCAGAAATATATAAAAATGAATTTTTGTGCTGTATGTATCTTTACATATTTATGAAGTTATGCATTCAAAACTACTCATAGAAAGGGGATAAAAAAAACTACCTGGTGCCATATATCCAATGGTTCCT